ATGTTAGAATTGTGTCGATGTCCCAATATTTCTGGACCTGACTTACCCTCCAGAAGAGTGATAGAGTAAGGAAAGCTGGCATAATATGCTGGGTATGGCTTTTGTTTTTCTTCTTTAGCTTGGAGCACATAGACTACTATCAAGGTCAAGTCACAGATGATAATCAGTATCAATTAGCAGGAAATTGTAATTCTGTAGCACAAAATGCATATATACATACATATATGTGGGGGAAGTATAATGATTTAACCATCTATCCATAGTTATTGTAAAAGCCGTTTGAATATAGACTGATTTAAAATGTATATTATCATAATACATGGAAAAGTCTTACAGCTGAAATGCTCTTCAGTTTATGAGATTATGACTTAATTTGTAACACTGACTAGGCAATGGCCAGATAAATGGGATATATAAAATATTTAATGTCTCAGTGTGATCAGAACTGGAAGCTAAGGCCAACTTTACAACAGACCAATTAAATAGCAAGCCAGTCATAATATATGTCTTTGAGAAAAAAATTGACCTGATGGTAAGGGGTAACATCTAAAGGGGATGAGCTGTCATTTCTTACTGTTGTGGGAAGGGTTAGGATATGTAAAATAGGTTTGTTAAGCCCATCAGTGGCTTATGCACCCATAATTGTTATTTGAGCAAAAATTGTGAAAAATCACAACCAAATTTTTGCATTTTGGAAACAGATTTTGTTAGGTGACTGGGCATAAGCCTTGGTATTTTTGAGCTTCAGATTACATATCCTTGGTTTAGAAAGCATAATTATTTAGCAATGGTGTCTAGACAGGTAATTTAGAAATTTTTTAGAATTAGATTTCCTTTAGTTAAGCAGTGAAGATGGAAAGATTGATAAACCAATAACAAGAAAACTATTTGAGCAAGATGTTTTCTATGGCAGGTTTTATAAAGGGAGAAGACAAAAGAAAACAAATGTTGATGAGATTTTTTTAAAATGTTCACTAGAACTTCAGTAAGAGTGCTTTCCCTTTTTCCCATTCCCTTTACAGTTTTACTGTAACAGTCTGTGCAGGTTTTCAAAGTCCAGGTTTTTCAGATAAAATAGGTAAGTTTTCTTTAATATTTGCATGTTAGCATTGAAGGTTGTGGGATTTGTGGAGGGAGTTTGAAAATTTGCATGAGAACATTGAGGGATTTAATTAAAATTAAAGTTTTTATTTTTTTAAAAAAATAAAGTCTTTATGACCTGCACAGTTTAACACTCTTAAAACCAGATGTTAATACTCTTAAAACCAGATGCTAATGCCAGGATGGCAAATAATAAGCATGCTTGATGTTTAAAATTACAGACAATGATAAAACCTTTAAGTCAACCATCCTCAGCCCAGAATCTTCCAGAACTTCAAATTCCATAACTCTCCAATATGTATGACTGAAGGTCATACAAGTTCTGGGTTATGGGAATTGTAACCAACACTTGGGGAGACCACCATATTAAGGAAGACTAACAGGTGGTAGGAGAATTTAGGATTCTCTCACTAACACAATTCTTCCAAAGGTTTGCTTCCGTAAGTTGCTACTGCCATGTCAAGAAAAGATGTCATTGTGACAAAAAAATGCAATTAACATCATAACTAGTTTGACCTTTAATTGCAAGAACACAATTGAAGTGAATCCTTGAAACATTACTTCATTTTTTCTATTATTATTTGTTCCACTTATTAAGGTCTTCTTCAGAGTTCTTTCCAGATAACACTGCCCATAAGAGGATAAAGGATCTAAAAGGAAAAGAGCTATCTCTGCCCCTTAACAGTGGAATAACTGACAAGGGAGAGGCAACTGATATATTCATTGCAAATATTTAAGATGAGAAGTTAAGAACTTCTCCTTCAGCAGACATTTAATCTTCAACAATTGTATTAGTTTTTATTGTTGCTTTTTAAATGTCAAAATGGGTCCATTAAATTAAGTTAATTAATTACTTTTATGCTTCTTCAATCACTTTCACTCTAAGCAGCTCAGAAGCAGCAACATATACAGAATAATACAGCAAAGAAAAAGTATTAAATAGATCAAACCATAAAAATATAATAAACAGTTAATGTATATTATAATTATATCACTATATATCATCCATCAATAAGAAAATTCATTCTATATGCAGGTATTTTGTCTATTCCCACATCAGTCCTCAAATACACCCTGGAAAAAACATGTTTTTAAAAGTTTCCTAAATATTAAAAGTGAACGTGTGTATCTTACATTTGATGAGAGGGCATATCACAGGAGGGAAGCTTCTGCAGAGAATGCTGGCCTTCAAATCTTCTCTGAACATACCTTACAAAAAATGGGGAATCTCAGCAAGCACATTCGAACGGGCTGACCCATATCCCAAATCATGTAGGACTTTGAAGGTGATCAATATCTTGAATTGCACTTGGAAACCAACTGGCAGCTAATTCAACTCTTGCATTGTTGATGCTATGCGACAATACTTGGTTGCCTGGTTGAAGTTTTAAGGTGGTCATCAAGTACAGTACTCATTATTAGCTCTTCTTGGTTTGAGTTTTTTGTTTGTTTTGGTTGGTTGGCTTTGTTTTGCTATTCTTAGACTTCTTTTTGTAAACTGTTCTATCATAAATTAATAAACAAATAAATAAATGTATTTGTGTACATACTTTCAGTCCCTGTGCTGTGAGAAACCTGGTAGAGTGAGACAAAACTTAAGCCCATGTAACATGATTATGAATTAAGAGCTAGTATTTATTCAGAGATAACTGATTCATATACCATTTAAAAATACTCTTCCCCAATATTTGGATATTCTTGAGGTTGCTGCTTTTCCTAGCACAACTGGAAGTAGATATAACCATATATTACAAAGGACTCAGAGATTGGCAAGGCTTGTTGCTTCAGTGATACCACTCCTACTAGCTGCTGATTTTAAAGTCCTTAAAGATGCCCCAGCTATGTCCATATTTTCACTTGGCTATAAGACAGGAGAAGGTATGGCATCTGAAGTTGGTTAAAAGACAGTAAAGAATTCACAACAGTCTTTGTTTTCTTCTTTACAATCCCATAAGAAATATCCTACTTGTAGAAAAAGATGGTTGATCCATTGAATGTATAGATGCTGCAAAAACAGCAGCTTTCTCTAAAACCAGAGCAGAATGTGAAGGATGATAATATTTGCCTTTTACAACATTTTGTTTCCTAATGTTCTTTAGTTCTGAAAGCTGAACTACAGTTAGATTCACTAAAAACCAAAGGAGCTGTTAAGAGGACTCTCTTCCTTGATTATCATCAGTCACAGCATGTCTTCTCCTTTACGTTATCTACACAGAATTGGCTCACTTGCAGGAACTTTGTGGTTTATCTTAGAGTAAGTTTTGTTCTTTGCTGGTCAAGAAAATTATACTTTCAGGGTAGTTATTCTGGAATATTGTTTGAATACGAATGAGTAAACAGCTAAAATCAATTAAAATAATGTAATTGATTTTGTAAATTTGATGCATTTTTAATTGTATGGCTTTAGAATATATGTGTGATAATAAATCATTTCCATGAACTTTCTCCTTCAAACTTTAAATAGTTGAAAGATAACCATACCTGCTGAAACACTCAACAAATGAGGAAAAAAACAGTAGGATGAGTTGCATATTATCTGTTTCAAGGTGTAAATTGATCCCATTTATTTTCTTATTTGGACTGTTCATATGGCATTAAGAAAAACTGGAATGTATCTAGATCACACAAATTTGGGGTGTATTTTTTCCTTTCCCTTGTTTATAAGTGTTCAAAATTTTGGCCAAGATCAAAGAAATTGTTTCTGTGTTTTGAATCTTTTCTCAGAAGATTCCTTGTTGATTGTTCAAATTACAATGCAGTATTTGAAGCTCATGAAATATTGTCTTATTTCTATTGCCCATCATCTTTTTTGCAATGCAAAAACCACATGGAAATGCATCATCAATTCACAGTTGGCAGTGGTGAAATCTAATATAACACTATTTAATATCAGTGTGCGTTCTAGTATATATCCCCAGAACTTTTTGTCACATAACAAAATATCACAGCAAATATCAATACAAAAATTGTTTCCCAGAAGTTAGTAACTTGAAAAATATTATGATACGCTAGAACATATCAACTATCAAATAGTAAATTCTTTCGGTATGAACTGTGAAATGCCAATTGAGAGATGTCAGATATTGAAATGAAGTATAACTGGCTGTCATGTGCAAATATAAAATATCTAAACACATCTGAAAATCCACAAAATATGTGAAGAATAATTGACATCAGAGTTGATGAGATAGAATATATTAGTGCAAGCTTATATCAGCTGTAGCAAATACAGTTATAATACTCATGTATACAACCCCAAATGTATGAATAGTGTTGCAGATGTTGCAAGAACATGAAATGTATTCAATTTCAGTAGCTGAGTTCAATTCTGTTTCTCTGGTGTTGCTTATCTTCCTAATTCTGGAAGATAGTTTTTCAGTTAATTTTTCAGAAGGCACAGAAATAAATGTATTTGCTATAGACAATGTAGAATCAGTTGGGCCCTTTAGATTGGCAGAAGCTCCAGGGTTTTTTTTGCTGAAGTGCGTTTAATGTTTGTCTGTATAACAGGCTAGCAGTGAAAGTTTGTTCTGAAATGGGCTAGACCTCAGTTCCCCACCCTACTTGACCAGTGGTCAGGGATGTTGGGAGTTCCAATCCAAAACCACCTGAAAGACCATAGATTTGTCAACTCACTCTTTCTTTCTTTCTTTCTTTCTTTCTTTCTTTCTTTCTTTCTTTCTTTCTTTC